ATTTCAACCCCCCCCCCATTTTTGACCTTTTCATACAATAAATTGCATGTTTAAAAGACTGTCTCTTTTTCTTGCTCTGTTGTCACTTTATTTCACCTCTATGACAATTTTTTTTTCTTCAAGCTGCTTTCCTCTGAGCAGAGGAAATGCTCCTTTCTGGATGTGTGTATGTTTTTGTGTGTAGCTTTATTTGTTTATGATCGAAGTTCACCCATCCACAGTGCATTCTTACGCCCAGCCCCTGGTTGTCATGGTAACTCAGTCGGCCAAGAGCCTGCTGTTGCTTACATCAAATAACTCACACTTACACTCACACTTTTTTAGAGTGTAATACTTGTGAGGACCAATGTAATCATGGACAACACTGGTATTTTTACGAAAAGAATGCATTGAAACACCATAGTGAGACCCTTATGTGGGGAAAAATTAGAAATCAGTGTTGTATTTTTCATCACAGACTCTTGCCCTTTCACCTTTTTCAAAATCACACCTGCCTGAGTGAACCACTGCGAGTCTAATGAATCTTTCCTTGCTTGTGCTGCACAGGTATGCAAGAACAAATTCACCCTGAAGCTTGGCTTAAGTCTGTCTTAAAAAAAAATCCGCTTGACTCAGCTTTACTTTATTTTTTTTTTTTTGGATATTAAATGAGGAATGGCTTTTCAGGCCAGGACCCAGCCCCCTTGTAGATGTTTTTGTAACCTTCTTCTCTTATATTTCTAGCTGGCCATTACCTCAGGCCATCTTAAAATGATAATTAGCACTCCTTACTCTGAGGTTTATTATTCTTTCATTAATCTTATTGCATTACCTTCCACTGTGTATTAGAAAACTAGTCAAGTTTCAAACACAACTTAATTTCTGGATTTATATTTATACCAAGGATGTGTTTTGAACCTTTAGGCTAAATGGCCCTTTGGTCAGGAGTGCTCATTATCATTGTGAGATGGTTTAAAGTTTGGGCTTATTACAAATAAAAAGGGGGGGGGCGGGGGCAAAAGCCTAGCCTGGCCGGGCCATCCTGTTGCGTGAATCACTTGATGTTCCTTCCCACAACAGTCTGGACTTCGGCCCATAGAGAGCGTGTATTCCCGATAAGAAAATAACCGGGCCAATCAGAGACCGTGTTTCCACTGTTCCCCGGACAACAGGGAAAGGCAGCCCCTGATTGGTCCATGTGTAGTGGTGACGTCTCACACATGCTGCAGGACTTTTCAAAGCCCCGTTCATTCAGAACGCCGTTAATTCTGCAGTTAACTTTGCAAAGTCGGCAGAAATCGTTTATATATGCAGAAGACATCCGATATAAACGATTTCTGCCGACTTTGCAGAGTCAACTCCACCTCCTCTGGTGAATTGCGTGAAGCAAGACGCCTATTGTTCTCTCTGGTCAGCTACTTTCTGTGCGTTGTAGGACAACGACGATCGTCACCCAAATGAGTAGGTGACCGACAGTGACTTTTCCTTGTAATTTTCCCTTTTTCTTAAACATTTGGTTTGCTTAGCAAAAGTCCCATGTGAATGCTATAGACTGTATATAGAATGGACGCCGTCTGCCTCCTCGCTGGGTGAAGCCACTCTGAGAACAGCACACACTGGCGGCGGGCTGCAGTATAGGTCATAAATCCCGCCTCTGCCAGCAAAGCCTATGGAGTTGTGGAAAAACTTTTGAAATTAATTACACAGAACATAATATTTTTCCCCTGCTTGCGATGTTGACATGTAGTTACTGTAAGACTGGTTTGTGCTCAAGTCCTCTTTTTTTCTGTACAGCTCAATTTTCAGTTATTAAGGGGTTCATGTTTTCTATGATTGACACTTGATACAGCCTATGGGCGTAAAAGGATTGCGTAGCTCACCCGGAGGATACGCTGTTTGAGTTGAGCGTCATCACAGCGACTGTCCCGCCAAATGCGCACAATGCGACTGTGCAAGTGGTGGAGTGCGTACAACTCTACTGCCTAATGTTGGTTTCAGGAAATAGAGAAAAAACATGGAATTACAGAGAGCTTTTTAGCTTTAAATCCGTATACTGGCAGAAGGCGGAACAATGTTGTCCATTGTATATACAGTCTATGGTGAACGCTAAGCGGACCAAATGAAAAATTCAACAATGTAAACATTGGTCCCTGATTCGGACCTTCTAAGCGGACTTTGGGTGAGAAAGACCCCTGAGATTCCTGACCATGTAATGAGGCTAAAAATATAAAGAAAAAATATGCATGTACCAAAAGATGAAAAAAGAATATATTCTGTCTTATGCTTCACTCTCCATAGTTATCATCATTATAGATACAGAACTGGAGAAGGAACATTGGCAGCAAACACACACCTTCATGCAAGGGCTGCGTAAGTCTCATGATCAGTGACCACGTTTCTGCTATCTGAGTGTGCATCTTGGTTTACTCATGTTTGTGTGTCTCAGTGTTGTGTGTTTGGTTTGTAATCAAAATGCTGTGTAAATGATGTGTGCGTATGTATGTGTGTCCCGAGTGTGTGTAAGTGATATACCTTCTCTTTTAGGAGAGAGCAACCAGCAGTGTTGACTGAAGATGCTGATTCTCCCTTCTCTGCCCTCCATCCCACTTTCTGTTTAACCACACAAACACACGTGCACACACACACACACACACACACACACACACGCACACACACACACACACACACACACACACACACACACACACACACACACACACACACACACACACAGGTTTTCTCACACTGAACCAAACACACACTCACCCACAAACACATTCACTGAGACTTACAGGCAATGAATCTTGTCAGTTTTAATAAATAGTTACATCTTTCAGGCTGCTGACGTCGCAGAGAGAAGGAGAGACGGAGAGAGAGAGAGAGACACACACAGAGAGAGAGAGAGAGAGAGAGAGAGAGAGAGAGAGAGAGAGAGAGAGAGAGTGCTGAAGAAAATCAAAGAGAACACTGACTTATTTCTGTGTAGTTCACAGACCACAGAAAGATGTATGTGAGGGCAAGAGTGCAGGGATGCTGTGCTTCATATGATAACTGTGTGTGTATTTGTGCATGAGTGTGTGTGACAGGAAACACACACACACACACACACGCACACACACACACACACACACACACACACACACACACACACACACACACACACACACACACACACACACACACAGGTATAAGATCAACAGATTAAACCTGAACTCCCCTAAAGCCTCTTCTGAGATGTTTCGGGGGAGCTCTAAAAAAGTGCTTACTGTAGATTTTATCCTACTTCTACACAGTAATGTTCCAGAAATAAACAATATTGGAAAATAATAGTCAATTTTAGTTAATTTGCTCATTATATTCCAATTTATAAACATCTGTCTTTCACAAATTAACACAATCCTGTGTCTATTCCTGCTGGGGCTATCCTTTCATGACAGCACTGCACTCAGATTTTTGTAGCCACCTGAAGTCATCATCATTCAGTGGACGCAAGATTTGAATGCACAGAAGCTAAGTTATCATTTAAGAAAGCCAGCTGTTCCTATTTAGTATTTTGGTATGGCTTATGGGTCATTAGAATTTTAAAACAGCAACAACCCTGCCTGCTCAGTCATTTCGGATTCACTAGTCCAAAGAAATCCACGAGTAAAGACAACACCAGCGAACCCACATGACAGCACCATTTATGGGTTTCATTGGCAATGACATTTCCAAGAGGGAAAATGCCCAAGCAGCAGACGCCTCCATCTCTACTTGCGGCAGTGAACATGGTGAGTACTGCATTTGTGAAAACAGGCTTTAGTCCTTTTAACCTTTGGTGCAATTTTATTATGTTGACATGACAAGTCTGTTTCCTAAGTTGTAACCATACGGGCAAAACCCACAAGGTCCAGAACAGCTCCGCTTCGGCATGGCCGGCAAATCAAATCCAAAAGCATAATAATCAATGTGAGTCATTCCACGGAGTCCATCCGGCGTCCGGCTCTGCTGCAGTGGCCGGAGCACAGTGCATCAAATTAGTGCAGCGCAGCTCAAGCAGCAGCGGAGGTTTTATGCAGTTACAGAGTAAAATATCTGGTTTATTTTTAAAAAATAAATTAATTAAAGTCAATAGATTGAACTGTTCTTAACTTGATGATGGGAGAGGCCAGGGTTGTGGGATGTGGGTGTTTATATACACTGCCGTTTATATACACTGATGGGCGGATCTTATTCTATGACTCCCGGGGAAATGCAAGAGAGCTCGGCAGATCTCGTCCAGTCTCGCAAGAAATATCGGTAATCCTGCAAGCGCTTCTCCTCCTATGGTGGTGGCGGATCAGATCCAGTGGGTGCTGTATGCTTGCGGATCTGATCTGCCTGCCGGTCCAGAGCAGAGCCGTTCCAGATCCCTTGGGTTTAGCCAGATAGACTGTATAATTATTGAATGTAGCATCAGTGAAGTCACTCAGTTATGCTGAGTGCTGTAACAATGGGCCTTTGGCTTTATGTGTACGTATTATTAGTGCTTCTTCAGACACCCTCAAAAGGTTGGCCAGGGGGGCTGCAGCTTTCAGCACTTAAGCATCTGCTTCATTTCTCAAGACTGGAAGGTGCTGCTTGTTTACAAGCAATATCTTCCGTTTCAATGGAACTGACATAATGTAGGAACTATTGTTTCAGAACCACGGACAGCGCTGTCTGTTTTGTGTTTATTTGTCTCAGCACCGTGGGCAGCTGCAATTGTCGTCTTTTTGCTTTATGTTGTCTGGATGCAGCTTACATAGACTAGCATGCTTGATGTATTTTGGTTAGTTCAGATCTAGCACATTAGTGTAATTATACAACTTTACTACAGTAAATTCAGAATTATACCGTCTCAGCAGTATAAAACCTTTTTTTTTTAGAGGGGTTCTCACTGAGAAAAAAGGGTTTAAAGGATGTGCAAGAGAATAATCTGGTGATAAAATGTGAAAGGTCAGAGGTCAAACCTACAGCTGCATCAAACACTCATCTCTGTGTTTAGTCCCATATTATGTGAGAGTCAAACATCTAGCTTAGCATAACAGATTCCCTCACATTGGAGGCGTGAAGTGTAACTGGTGTTTAGAGCCGCCTTTGCTCTCTCTCCCACCTGTCCCCCCCACTCCCAAAACCCAGATGTCCCTGCAGGTGAGGAAGGACGCTCCTGAGCCTGTTGAGCAGGTTCAGAGCGGATGTCCACCCACTGCAAATGGAGCATGGAGAATGTGGAACAGCTGGATGAGGAGATTTACAGCTCCCCGAAGACACAAACAAGCTGTGGAGCACGTTCATCTGTCAGTCTGTTCATCTGCCTGTCTGTCCCTCTCTAATTACCCACCCACCCCACCCTCTGTTTTTGATCTTTTTCCTCTCTGCTGCTCTGATGCAGCGTTAGCATGGCCTCTCCCTGCTCCTCAGCTGTGATAAATTCCATCTTTACATGCCCAGCACGCCGAGGATAATCTCACAGCCCACAAGGGTTAGTCTGGCAATAACTCCTGTTTTCTGGGCTTTTTTTCTAAGACAAAGTCACATGATGAACCTGGTCACACACATTATGCAGACATAGGTTTCAGTTTGAAACACAGACACACTTTGATTCTGAGCATGCACATCTTAAGAGTGTTTTTTTTTTTTTTTTTTTTTTTGCCTACTGGGGGTTAAATATCCAGTGAATATAGATGTCACACAAGAACTATAAGAGTAAAAAGACTTAAGACTTTCGGTCAAAAAGATCCTCACTGTATGTAAGGCTCTTTTGAAACGTATGTCTGTATGGCAAAAATAGTAATAATAATGATAATAATTAAAAAAAAAAAAATCTTACATCAAGAGTTCACTGCAGACAATCCTCCACCAATACTGGGGACAAACACTTTTATCTGTTTGGACAAATCTATAGTCAGCTGACATGTTGGATATGTTTTTGCCCATTCACATGTTGCAACTGTTCACCAGAGATCAAACCCTTCTGCAGCCACTACCCTCACATTAAAACAATTTCAAGCAATTGCACTGTTGTCAACAATTTTGCAATGTCAGGACAAAATCTTTGAGATATTTTCTCCCCTGTTATTTGAATTGTTTGGTGTAGGCTGGTCAGAAAACTTTGTTGTGGTAGTTCTACTTGTATATACCGGATATTATCCCTCTCTGTGTACAGCACATGGGATTATTGTAAATGAAGTAGCAGAAATATAGCATATCAGGTTTGCCTAGAAAATAAACTAACTGAAAATAACTGAAAGTGGCTAGTTTGATTGAGAGATTAATTTTGAAAGAGCGCTGCATGTGATGATGAAGGGGCACACCTTTGTGCATCAAGGGGCCTGTAGCAGCTGTAGGATGTGCTTGTGATACAGCTATGACTTTGCAGTAGTAAGTGGTACAACCAACTTAAGCTTTTGTAGATCTCTTAGGTTGAGATTTCTAGCATGTATGTTCAATTTATAGCACAAAGACAGTGTATAATTGTCAGTAATCTTTATGATGGTGCATTCACTCACAACTTGTCACTGTTTTCTTTGCTTCACTGTAAAAGTAAGGAGGAACAAGTACATCACAATAAATAATAATAATAATGATAATAATAATAATATTGAAAATGGAAACAGCATCCTGTCAAACCTGGAGTGGGATTCAAGCTCACTGAAGTTACCCAGCTGGTATCTCTATCAGCTACTGAAGACTATTACAATCAAAATGACCAATGGATATCATAAATACTGCCCACAGAGGATCAGGGTCTCTTAATTAGGAGATAAAGGGTAAAATAATACACTTTCTTGCTGAGTACACTGTGCCTCAATGAAGAAGAACCTCAGATGATTTACACATCTTTAATAAGGCTTATGTCACTGAGAAAATCCCAAATGTCCCTGAGGTAGAGGTAGAGCCAAGAGGTTTGTGGTTTTATTCCCTCTGTGTTTGTTAATTGAATAAGTCACAAGAGAAAAAAACAAAACAAATGTACAACTGATATTAAAAACATCAGTTTCCGTTGATTCTTTCCTCTTCACATCATTAACACGCAGTAAAAGTTCAGACTTTCAAAGTAACCTTCAGAGGCTCTGTGGTAGGCCTGTGTATGTGTGTGTTCGCAGCCCTCCTCAGGGACTGTGTGGGCAGCAGCAGCAGCAGCAGCAGAGTAGACCCCCCCTCAGCTCAAATGATTTATAAAGAGCAGGTTCTGCCCTCGGGGAGTCTCAACAGGTGAGACTTCAAACATCAGAGCGAGAGAGGAAGAGTAGCAGGAACAGAGACGAAGAGTTAAACACAGTGAGACGGAAGACATGAACAGAGTTTAACTGAGAAACATGTTTCTGATGTTTCTCTGATGCTTTAAATAAGGGCTTAAGGGAGCAAGTTTGTGCAGAACAAGACAACACAGACTCTGAAACCACTTTCTGTTTACCTTGTTACATCTGATCTCTACTTCCCAAACAGGTATTTTTACTCCCGGCAAATGTACCTGTGGATACATGCTGAGGCCACAAATACATATATCATAAAGATGTGTTCAGAAAAGGATTTAAAAGAAGACTTTTCTCCATTTAGTAATCATTACCTAACATCAAATTGATGCACGGACAGTGGTAATGGACACAACTAAAAGAAAACACAAAGATGTTAATTCCCAAACTAACCCAAACGGCCCTATGAAAATCCTACACCAAGCACATTGAGGTGCAAGGCAAGCATCATTAATTTACACCCAGTGCATTGAGCATTTTTACACATAGAGCCTTCTTTGCGTAACCAGTGAGTAAACTTCACCCAAACTGAGGCTTTAAATGTTGGTCTCTAAATGAGCTATGGTCTGGGGCAAAGGTTGCTTGTGGCTATCTATTGTATACAGAAAGTCGGTTCTTTGGGACAGGGAAACTGGAGACACCAATCCTATTCAATTTGTCTCTTTCCTACAGGATACAGTATTCTGTTCATATCAGAAGTCTAGAATTCAAAGAAACCCTCACTTCCACCCTCTAGGTCAAACTAATACATATCAGTACGTATATAGCCAATGAAATCTGGCATTGCTCACTTCTACAAATAGTTTGTAGAAATTTTATGTTGTGGCAGGATTTGTGAGTATCTGTCAACATTTACTGCTGAATATAATGTTTAAATTGTATTACCTCAAAATTAAAGTTTGGAGATATTTTTTATTGGAAAAGATTTGTCTGCCTGTTTATGGTTTATTTTTTCATAAGATCTAATAAAACAAGGCTTTCTGGGTTTTGTCAGTGTATAACAACAATGTAGAGTCTAAAATTTTAATACCTGAATAAAAAATCAAGGTCAAAATTTAAGCCAAAATGTAAATCTCTCTTTTTTTATTTTGAGGGGGAGTGAAAATGTACCTTTAAAGATAAGACACTTTGAGTCCAAGTAATATAAAGTGTAAAACATCAGGAACCAGACAAATATAGATGTTTTTTTTTCTTACTGACATTTTTCATTCTGTTACAGTCAGTGATTTTAGCTGGAAGTTACTCAGTTGAATAATAGAGTGTGGTTATATTAGCTCTAATAAAAGTCAGCGATTTATTAAATGTCGTGCATTGCTTCATGTGTGTCAAAGAGAAACAGAGATTATTAAATATTAATATTACATATACTTGATTGTGTGTCATTTTGAGCACACGTCTGAAACTGTGAATAAAGATATTAATATCCTTCCATAATAAAACTCATTTCCTCCTCTCTCTGCTCTTATTCTCTCAGCATTGGGATAAACAGAAAGAGAGCAAGCCCCAGGGAGCCGGCAAACAAACAGCAAACAGCAAATCAACAAAGCAGCTCATTATGAAGATTTACTCTGCTGCTGCTGCTGGTGGTGGTGATCATTAGAGGAGAGACGCTGAAACACAGGAAGAATAATCCCGACCCACTGCTTTAATAATGTAATCTACTCCCAGCAAAGCTCCAGGAGTGATGGACCGCAGCTGTTTACATCTCACTCTCTTCATTTTAATATTTGATATTCAAATGAGGGACGCTTTGAGACACTAACATCATATACATATTAAAACAAGTGTTATGGAATGAATTGAGGTAGACCCAGGATTACTCTGTTAATCTGGAGAGGTAACAGGTCTTCGAGTAATACTGCATATTCATGCTGCAGAATTTAGCAGTGTGTGGAGGTGGCTGAACTTCAGAGTTTTCATATTAGGATGCATGTAATCAGGTCAGAGCATTCACACTGTTAATATGAGCAACACATGAACTACTGCACAGCTGCAGCACGAAAAAAAAACAAGACCACATACATGGTTCATGGTGCAAAGTGGATTAAGACATGTCTAACCACATTTTGCTAGTTAAGTGTTGCACATTCTGGACATTCTAAATGCCATGCAGGGTAGGAAAAGGTTGGATTAAAAGTGTGTTTTTGGTAAAATGTTAATCAAACAGATCAGTGTGTCCTGCATGATGGACACAACCATTTTTCCATTTTCATTTTAACAGACTGAACTCAAGCAGGCACTTTTATCCATTCCCCTACCAGCACACCCCTAACAATGCCAAAAACTCACACAGAAAAGAACATCAGTAATTTTCAGATGAAATTGACAAAAAAAGACAGTTTGTGTGACTTTATACTGTATTGTGTGCATAATGGACATATGACAGTCTAAATATCTGTGGGCATGATTGTGATGCTGATGTTTAAGAGCTATGAAACAAATATGTGTCACAACGCGGTGAGGGGTGTCTTGTCCTGGTTTTTCTGTCTTGTCATTTTCATGTTTTATTTTGAAAAATAACTCTCCTCTCGTTTCGGGTCACTTGCCCTTCCTCTTGTGTCACCGGTCTGACGTCTCCCCTGATCCCTGATTGTTTCCACCTGTTCCCCATTAACCTCATGTGTCTTATAGTCTGCGTCTCCCTTTGTCCTGTGCCAGAGTGTCTCGTTTATTCGTGTAGTTAAGTTCGTAGCCTCCTTTTGTTTCCCTCCTTTTGGAGCGTTTTTTGTTATAAATTTTCATAGTTATTCCTCTGAAGATTAGAGAAGCTCAGCCTACGAATTTTTCCTCCCTTTTGGAGTGAATTTTTGTTCAGTCTTGGTTTGTATGGTTTCTGTGTTTTGTCTGTTTGCCATTAGTATAGATATAGAAGGTTTTCATAGCCTATTTGTTTATCACTCTATCTACTGAGTAAAGAAGACGATTTTCAAAATAAAGCATTTGTTGATCTTTAAACCTCTGTTTCTGAGTCCTCTCTTAAGCCCAGGCCTGACAATATGATGGCCCTTTAGTTTAGCCTGGCTGGGCCATCCAGTTGCGTGAATCACTTTCCGTTCCTTCCCACAACAGTCTGGACTTCGGCCAATTGGGAGCGTGTATTAGAAATCAGAAAATAACCGGGCCAATCAGTGTGTTTCCACTGTTCCCTGGACAACAGTGAAAGGCAGCCCCTGATTGGTCCATGTGGAGATGGTGACGTCTAACACATGCTGCGGGACTTTTCAAAGCGTCGTTCATTCAGAACGCCATTCATCTGCAGTTGACTTTGCAAAGTCGGCAGAAATCGTTTATATCCACAGAAGAAAACGTAAAAGACATTGTTTGCTCGCACACGTTGAAATATTACCAATTCTTTCTTGATGCTTGAGAGCCCAGCAGGGAACACAGTTGCACACTGTGATGACAGTAGTCTGTCTATCAAGGAAAGTACTCCCACCCACTTTTAGGGGTCCCAATTGGCCAAAGTCCAGACTATTGTGGGTAGGAATGGCAAGTGATTCACGCAACTGGATGGCCCAGCCAGGCTACCTTTAGTTGCATGTGAGGGTGTGTGTTAATGTATGTTTTCATTTTGTATAGGTCAATTTTAATTCAACCTCAGCTAGTAGCAGAGACTGTTTAGAAACCAACATGTTTATAATCTGTTACTTACTGTTTTGAGGTCTGTCTTTTCTGTTATTTAACTATAGTGATATTGTGAAGTTTCAGTAAAGACTGAACTGCTGCATCGAGTTTTTAAGTGAGTTTAAAATATATAAAAAGAAAAGAGACTGACTCAGAATGAAAACCCAACAAGAGTCTGTGAAGCTAAAATGCATTCTGCTATTTTCACAATACAGAGTAGATGAAATAATCTTTGTAATCATTGGGGGTTTGAGGACTGATTCAAGTTCAGCGTTCAGTAAATCTGAATCAACAAAAGATTACTAAGAGCAGAATTTTAAGAGTCAAATTTAATGTAACACCTTGAAGAACTTTCTGTTCCCTCATCCAATCAGACGGCCTGTAACAAAGACGTGTTTTCAGTCCAACGTCAGTCATCCCAACTTTTATTGACCAACTGCTTTGTTTACCACAGGACAAAGAGTAATAATCCTGCACACACACACACACACACACACACACACACACACACACACACACACACACACACACACACACACACACACACACACGCGCGCGCACTAATATTGTCACAGAGGAATGTCGAAGGGTAAAAAAAGAGGGCAGACATGACTCACTCTGTTTACTATAGATCTGTCTCTGCTCTTTTTTTTACACACACACTCTCTCTCTCTTTCTCCACACACACTTAACATGCACTCATTACACACTCTTCACACACAGAGATAACACCGTCTGTTTTGTACCAGCTTGCCCCTTTAATCAAACTCTGCAAACTGTCGGTATGTGAAATGGGGAAGGAATGAAGGAATGCTAAACAAACAGACATGCCTCAACATATCACACACACACACACACACACACACACACACACACACACACACACACACACACACACACACAGGAAAAAATGTAAAAGAGAGGAGGAAGGGGAGGGAAATGAAAGGATGTAAAGCAGTAGGAAAAGAGAGGGACAGATGGGAGGGAGGAGAGGGGGAGGAATGAAAGAGAAGAGAGCGTGACGATGAGAAGAAAGCTGGAAAACAAGGGGGGAGGAGAGCAGGAGAGGTGGGGATGGAAGGAGTTGAGGTGGAGAAGAAGAATGGACAGATGGTTGGGAAAAATGAGAGAGGTAGAAAAGAGAAAGGTGGAGATTGCAGACGTCAAAGGAAAAAGAAAACCAGGGAAGAGCTGTGATAAAGACCCAGCAAAGAAAAGATGAGGCAACAGGAAAAAAAAACAAGGAGAAGAAAAGAAGAAAAACAAACTATTTAAGAGGATGAGAAAGATGTATCAGCAGAGATAAAGAAGATCAAGATAAAATAGCAAGGAGACAAAAAAGAATCTGAGAGGAAGAAGAAACAAGAAGAAAGGATGTTGAGGAAGAAAAACAAGAGGAAAAATATGGAGAGGAAATAAGGAAAGACAAAGGGTGTGACAATGTAAAAGAGGAGTCATCTGAAGTGAAACAGAAAAAAAGAGAAGGAAAGAAATGAGAAATGTAAAGAAGGAGGAGAAAAAGGAATAAGAAAGAGGTAGGTGGGAGGAGAGGACATCTGAGACCAAACACTGAGATGTGAGGGAGAGAGGGATTACATTTTCTAAAGAGAAAAAAGGAGACAAAAACAAAAGAGAAGAGAGGGAGAAAGATGAGACATGACAGCGAAAAATAAACAAGACAAACAAACAAAAGGGTGTAAAAAGAGAGATTAGGATGTGAAAAGGAGAGGAGGAAAGAGGAGGATTTAAAATGGAGATGAAGTCAAACAGCAGAGACCTCCTGCTGAGAACACACAAGGAGATGTTGGCCTTAAAGCAATAACAATAAACACAGCAATAACAAACAACAGCAGCCGCAGCAACAACAACAACAAGAAACAACAACAGCAGCAGCAACAATATATCAACAACAGCAGCAGCAACAACATGAAACAACAGCAGCGACAATTTAACAACAACAACAGCAGCAGCTACAGCAGCATGAAACAACAACAGCAGCAGCAACATGAAACAATGGCAGCAACAATATATCAACAACAGCAGCAGCAACAACATGAAACAACAGCAGCAACAATATTAAAACAACAGCAGCAGCAACAACAACAAGAAACAACAACAGCAGCATTTTTTTCACATTAAAAGCAGCAGCAACAATATAACAACAAATCAACAACATCAGAAATAACAACAACACTTTATTAATACTTTGTTCCCCTAACACTGAAACCCACACCACAATCACAATAATAACCCACACCAGTAGAATTACTGCTACACACTGCTGCACATAAACAACTTTTTTTACATTGTGCACAACAGCAACAACAACACTGTTTCACACCATGCATGCACATCAACAAAACTACAGTAACACTGACACAACAGGGCCATCATAACAACACAGAGTCTCACTCAACACACGACATGCATGACATGCACAAAAATAGTAACTCTAATATTCATGATATCCCAATTCTCACTGTATCACACAACAGCAACATTGTTACAACATGCACGACATTGCATATACACAATTGAATGAGCAACTCAGTTTCTCAGCGCACACACACACCACTTACAAACTCACTCAGCAATAAAATGATTTGAGAAGAAAAAGAAAGAAATACGCTCAGAGTTTGATTTTCCTGCTGACTCAATCTCTGAATGTATTTACAAAAACTGAATGTTTGTTTCCCTTGAGAGTCACACACCACATACTCAGGTTAGTCTGTGGTTAGATTGTGTGTGTGTGTGTGTGTGTGTGTGTGTGTGTGTGCGTGCGTGCGTGCGTGCGTGCGTGCGTGCGTGCGTGCGTGTGTGCATGCGTGTGTGTGTGTGTTTCTGTGTGTTTGTACATTAGTAGAGGTTTAAAGGATGGAGGCGTTTGAGTAAACAAAAGTCCCCCACTGTGTGAGGGACCCTGTTCAGAGCAGAGAGGCTTAACCACACTCTCTGCCAGCACTGGATTTCTGAGGGTGTGTGTGTGTGTGTGTTTCAGCATCCACGCTGGAACAGCTTTAGTCAGTTTCTTCAAGAAATGTATGTGTGTTTGTGCACTGAGAGCACTCTGAACAAAGACACTAAGCCAAATCTGACCATATGTCCCTCAGTCACAAAGCCTTCTTTTGTAACTGTGCTCCACTTTCTTTACTTTGGGTCTGAATACCTGGACAGGTGGTCAGAGTTTCTGAGTGTCTGCAGCGGATCCTTCCTCCTGCAGGTAAACTGTTGTAAAGTCTGCAGCATAATCCCTGATAGACCAAAGTGTGTCACTTGAAGGTGTTGACTGAGGACATTGCATCCTCTGCTCACATGGGTGTGATCTGGGTGGGATGGGTGTTTACATGCCTGAGATGCTGATACCTTGGCTCAACAGATGTCATAGCTCACCTTGGCAGGTGTCTTTGCAAGGATCTTTGACACCACCATGTTGCTCCAAAGAGTCCTCTCTGGTGCTGTAGTACTCAAGCTTAGGACTCAAACTGCATGACTCCTAATGAGAATTGGCCTTAAAGGGATATTCTGGCATAAAATTAATTTAGGGTCAAACAAACCGTAACATTGAGTTAGACACCCCCTCGAGAGATGAATGTTGCCGACCGCTTGCTTCTCTAGCTATACCAACTTTAGTAATGACCGCACGATAGCAATACACAGCGGTCTCAGGAGCCATCAACAAACCTCAGCCAAAACACCACTCTATAGCCACAAATATTGCTTAGAACAGCACCTAACTTCATCAACAGTACATATAGGGTCCCAGCCATAGTACTAGCCACCAAACATCTTTTTAGCTTTGCCTGATTTCTATAGCAAAGAGACTAAACACAACTTACCCACTCTCTTCCAGCAGCTGCTTGTTTGTAGCAAAACCTCAGGCTAGTCCATTACGGACTGCTGTGGGGTGACGCAGCTCAAGGAAGAACATTTATGATCATTTCTTTATTTATCATTTCATTTATCATTTCCTTGAAGTAATAATCACCACATTAATTCTTTTGCACTGCAGACACAGTAGGTCTTTTGCCTTAGCGTCTGATTGCATTTCCATATAGGAAACTAGAGAAGCAAGCGGTTGGCAACATTCATGTCTCGAGGGGGTGTCTGGTGTTACGGTGTGTTTGACCCTAAATTAATTTTA